AGGCTGGAGTTGCAGGTGGCCCAAAAAGCTATCTCAGCTCACTGCAAACTTCTGCCCTCCCGGGCTTCAATGATTTCTCCTGCTTAGCCCTCCCAAGTAGCTGGGACTACAGGCAAATGCACCATACCAACGCTAATTTTTGTAGTTTTAGTAGAGATGAGGTTTCACCGTTGGCCAGGCTGATCTTGAAACTCCGACCTCAAGTGATCCTCCTGCCTTGGTTCCCAAAGTGCTGGGATTACGGCTTGAAGCCTCCAGCACCTGGCCTCGTTTGACCTTTTATAACAATTCATGGAAACTGAAGTTTTACTGAAGCTACAAAATCACAGGTTTTTTCCATAGTTCATGAGCTCTTTCGATAAAATACCTAGGTAACCTCTTCTAAATCTTAAAAATGTTTACTGGATTTTTGTATGTTGATTTTGTATCCTGGAACTTTACTGATTTCATTTATAAGTTCTGACAGGTTTAAAAAAAATCTTTGGGGATATTTACATATAGGATTATGTCATCTGAAAATAAAGATAATTTGATTCGTTTTTCAGTTTGTTTTGGATGCCTTTTCTTCCTTTTCTCATCTGATTGCTCTTGCAAGTACTCCCAGTACTACGTTGAATAGAAAGGGAGAGAGTGGGCATCCTTACCTTGTCCTCGATCCTAGAGGAAAGGCTTTCAGTTTTCCCACATTTATTAAAATGTTAGATGTGGATTTTTCTTATGTGGTCTTTATTATGTTGAAGAACTTTCCTTCTGTCCCTAAACTATTGTGAGTTTTTATCAAGAAAGGATGTTGGGGCTGGGCGCGATGGCTCATGCCTGTAATCCCAAAACTTTGGGAGGCTGAGGCCGGCAGATCACCTAAGGCCAGGAGTTTGAGACCAACCTGATCAATATGGTGAAACCCTATCTCTACTAAAAATACAAAATTAGCTGGGGGGTGGCGTATACCTGTAATCCCAGCTACTTGAGAGGCTGAGGCAGAAGAATAGTTTGAACCTGGGAGGTGGAGGTTGCAGTGAGCCAAGATAGCACCAGTGCACTCCAGCCTGGGCAACAAGAGCAAAACTCTGTCTCAAAAAAAAAAAAAAAAAAAAAAGAGAGAGGATGTTGGACTTTGTTGAACACTTTTTCCATGTCAGTTAAGATGGTCGTGTCCAGCTCAATCCTTATAGTCACACCTGTGTACCAAACACTCCCCCCGGGGCATTTCAGTCCTTGCCCTCTAGCAGGGCACAGTGTGATGGAGGAGGGTTCAGAGAGCTCCCAACCAGATAGGATGTGCTGGCGCGTGTATGTGTGTGCATAGAAATAAAGATCATCAAAAAGACAACAAATGTGAAAAAGCAATACAGGAACGCATCTAGTAAGCACTTGCTACAGGGATGCTACAGAGGCCAACTCAGGGACGGAAGGCAGGGACATCCTCTGTGGCTCTGGAGCACGGGGACTGGCAGATGCGACATCCATAATTCGTAACCCATCAATCTTGGAGGGTCCTGTGCTCTGACCCTTTGGAAAACGACCCTCTTCTCTGATAGCTGAGCCCTCCTTGGAGGCCTAGGGCAGAAAGGTTTCTCTGCGAGACATACTCTGGTGGCCTGCAGCCAGCATGATGGATGAGGAGGCCAGAGCTGCTCAGGGCAGCTGAGGCCAGTAGGGCTGAGTGGGGAGAGAAATATGGCAGCAAATCCAGCTCTGTGTATAGAGAGTGCCGAAGGCCAAAGGGCAGAGCCCTGGGTAGCACTGAACATGTAAGAGGTGGCTTAAGAAGCGCAGCTGGTGAAGGAAACAAGGAAGGAGCAGTCAGAGAAAGGTGGAGAAAACAAGCAGTGCAATGCATCATGGAAGCCAAAAGGGAAGACAGCTTCACCAGGACAGAGACGCCAGCAGTGCCTGCAGAGTCCTCCAGAGAGGCCCCATGGAGTGTGGAAACGTGCCCTGTGAATTCGATCAGTAAGAGGTCCGTGGGGAGCCTGGGGAGAGCAGTCTCAGTGAGAGGTGGAGGTAAAAACCAGGTTTCCATGGGCTGAACAACAAAGAGAAAGTGAGGAAGGGATACTAGGAGTCAGATCGTCAGATTTAGCAAATAAAAATACAGGATGTTCACTTAAATTTCAATTCATCTGACATTTCAATTTCAAATAAACAGTGAATAAATTTTTAGTATAATAAGTATGTCCCAAATATTGCATGGGACGTACATCAACTATTTGTCATTTATCTGAAATTAAAGTTCAATGGGCATCCTGTATTTTATATGGCAGTTCTAACAGGGTAGCATGTGGACTTCTCTCCCAAACAACTTGTCTGGGAAGAAGAGCTGATTGCTAGAGCCATAGCTAGAAAGGGACCCCAGTCAATGGAAAGTTGTATTTAGGATGGGATCATCTAAGCATGTAGCCCAGACAGCACTTTCTGTAGCCTGTTTGTAGGCCGAAGAGAAAGAAAGAGAGGCTAAAGACACAGTTGGGAGAATGCTAGATTATTGAAACCATGGGCCTCTAATCAGGACCAGCAATCATTTCGCTGGATCCACCCATAAAAAGCAGAAAGTCCCTCCCCAACACTCCATTCCACAAAAAGCTCAGAAAAACGCAAATGTCCGACATCCATTTGCAAGTGTATTCCTGCTCCTTTGAAACTGCAGGATTGTGGATTTCATGCAAACTCTATCCAGTAGATTTTTGTTTCTTTTGTTCTTTTTCTTGGTGTTTTAGTGGAGCACCATAGCTGAAAATATTTTGCTAAATAGGGCAATCCGCTTTGCCAACTTCAACATTTCTTAAAATTTCGTCACCAGATAGAACCATTTTTAATAGCTAGATTCCATTACCAGTGCAGGCCGCAAGCCTGGGTCTTTTAAAGTGAATGAATCAGACTAGTGCTGAAATCGAGCTCCTCCTTCCTCTTTTTCTATTTTTACTCTTACTGCTAATGGTGAAGTTATCAAAGCCTCTTTTGATGATGAAATAATTGTATCACTGAATCATCACATGACTGAGTTAACAGCTGTTTTTCTTCCTCATGACACCAGTTTCCAGGGTCACATCTGGCTTGAGAAACTGGATGTCTGGTGTCCTTTTATTTTTGTTCCTTTTTCTCTAATTCCTTAGATTTCTGCCAGATTGGGAGCCTTCATTAGTGTTTGTTTCTGTGTTCGTGAGACAAAAAGGCAGACGATGTTTTTTTCCTCCTTTCCACAAATGCTAACTTGAAGTCTTGTTTCGTTTTTGTTCATTTTTGAGGCAGAGTCTAGCCCACCAAGTTGAATTCTTTGCTCAGTTTTAGGCATATAGACCCCATGGCAGGGGCAGCTCTGTGGCTTCCGCTGTCCTTCCTAAGAATGTCCCTGGCTGCGAACTGTTTGGATGTTCCCCTCCTTCACAAGGGACTTTGAGACTCTTAATAAGAAAAAAATGACAACATTGGGCTACACCAATTTCCCTTCTCTCAAATTGCTTGTTCTATGTTAGTTTCAAAACAAGAGTTTGCCAGCTTGGTTTTAAAGAGAGCACGAATGGACTGCCCCCAATACTACCTGTTCTGTTTCTAATCTGCTCCAGGATCCGAGAGAATCCATATAAGGTGGAGGACAATTGCTTTGAACAGATATCCTCAAGATAGTTCATAATTTTGCCTTTGGTTTTCTCACTTATAGTACTCAGGATAGAGCTTGGCCTTCTTTGGTGCCTGAGATTTAGGACTGGGCAGGAGGAGGTTATGTTTGGGATGTGCTTTCAAATAAAATATCTCTACCAAGTAATGAGTAATCTAAGATTCTTTCTATATATTATGCTTATCCCAAGAGGTAGACAAGTACAGAGGGGTGTGTAGCTAAAGCTGAGGCCATGGCGGGACAGGAAAGGAAAGTTTCTCTATGGCTCAAAATACTTGCAGTCTTAAACAGGCATGTTACCAACAGGTCCCCTCGGGGTGATGGCTCTCCTTCTGCTAGGCTGACCAGGGGGCCCGGATGGTGTGCCTGATATCTGGGAGGGCATCTCCAAGAATGTGTGACCTCACATAGAGGTTGAAGGCTTTACAGTGTTTAAGCCAGAAAGGACTTCGAAGACCCTTTAGCCCAGGGGCTCCCGACTTAATTTCACGGTCTATTACAAGTTGGAAGTAAACTACTGTAAAAAGTAACTGGTTGTCAACAAGTTTTATTTTGTGAATTGAGCAAATAAAATACTCATCTTCTGTCATTGTTTCAGAAAAGTACCTTTCAATGTAAAACATATGACTTATTCTCTTACTCTTAACATAAAGGATATATATATATCCCTGTCCTTCCCCAGAAAGTCAGTATTAAACTTACACTAACAGTACACAAATATACTGTATTATTTGTCTGTGTGTGCATCAATATGGGTGCACATCATCATCATCCTCCTTAGTCTTTCCTTATCACATGGGCAGCTGTAATGTAGTGATTTAGTACATGGACTCTGGGACCAGGACACCTGAGTTCAAATCCAGGCTCTACCACTTACCATCTGAAGACCTTCAGGTAAGTTACTTAAACTCTCTGAGCCTTGGTTTTATCATTTTCATCATCTATCATGTGAAGGTGTTAATAAGAATATGTACTTTTCCAGGTGGTTATGAGATTAAATGAGTTAATATACGAAAATCACTTCACACAAAGGAAATACCCAATAATTCATAGCCATTATTATTATTTTGCCACAGACTAGTGAAATCTTTATAAATTGGTGTCTGGGAACCACTGTCAAAGCACTCCTTTCCTTTTCCAGATAAGGAACAACTGAAGTCTAGAGTGGGCATGCCTTGTCCAATTCAGGTCATGGCCAGTCAGTGACTGGCGTGGGCATGGAACTCAAGTCTGCTGACCAAGTCCAATGCATCTCTGAGGTTTCCTAGAAAAAAAAAAAGCTAGTTAGGCAAATGACTGGGGAGTAGGATGGGCATCAGTGAACATGGGCTCAGTGTGTGTATAGAGGGGCGGGGAGCCAGCACTTGAGCAGAGCACAATAACCAGTTTGGAAACCACAGGGAAGTCTGGCCATTGCTGTCTCCTTTCTCTTTCCTCCAACCTCAGAGAAAATGAATATAGGAGCAGGTGACAGCCTGGGGTTGGGGGTTGAAGGAGTCTCTGCACATGGGATGGAGCAGGTGGGTGGCAATGTACTTCTACCTCTTCCTCCTTTAGCCTTCAGTCCAGCCATAGAACACATGGCTGAATCTTCAAAGCCCTACCTCTTATGACTCTGCTGGTACAGTCTGTTGGATGGAGGTCCTGCCCCTCCCAGGCACCAATCACCAGAGCAACCAAGGGCTGGAAGTAATGCTCAACCCTTCCACTCATTTTTGCTGCTGTGGTTTGGGGGCCATTCTCCATTTCCTAAGCACACAACAGCCTTGGTGAGGACCATGGGATCAGGTAGGATTGCACTCAGTGGCTGATAACAGAATCCATGGGACTGTGGCTTCTTTTTCACACCACATAGCAGGAAATCAGGGCGTCCAGGTCAGACTCCTTTAGTCCCTCTGTTCCATCATCCTTCACGTATGACTTTCATCCTCATGACCGCCTCCTGATCACATGTTCTAGGCAGGATGAAGACAAAAGAAAATGACAAAAAGCAAGGGTTGGGTACATATCAGGAAATCCAGACTTTCCCCTAAACCCTCCAGGGGCTCCTGCAGACACCTCAGTGGTCAGAGCTGTGTCACATGGCTACTCCTAGCTGCAAGGGAGCAAAGGAAAGGTCCTATTTTGTCTGGGTAACAAATTGTAGTTTTATTAAGTAAGAAAGGAGAGAATTGATATTGGATAAGAAACATTTACTGCCAGGAAGATACAAATTGGAGCCTTTTCATTTCCTTTCCTCCAAAGTCTATTTCAGCAAGATCACAGTCCAAGGAAGCATTAGCATTAATCTCCTCCGGAAGCCTTAATGTCTATACGGCCTTTGCTGAAACCCTGAACCCACAAACAGTGGATCAGGCAGCACATACCACCCAGCATACCTTTTTTTACAAGTCTCCTTACACTTTCCTCTGACTCCTCTCAGTGGTGCTTCCAATCTCCCTCTCTCCTGCAAAGCAAAAAAAAACAAAAGAGGCCAACTGGCAGCCTGCGCTGCCCTCTCTGCACAGCCTCCCATCTCTCTGACATCTTCCCTGTTGCCATGTTTTTCCCTTTGTCTTCTCTGTGCAATTTCTTGTGGAAATGGGTTTGGTCTCTGGGCTCTTATAAATCTAGGTCTCCACCCTTTAGCCCCATAAGCACAACCAAGGCTGAAAATGACGTATCTGGGAGATTATGACACAACCTGTGAACTATACTGTGATATTTTCCCCGGCTACCCAGGTTACCAGCAAGCCACTGTAAACTTAAGCACTGCTTGTACAACATCTGCAGACACCAGTCAGGGTGGGTCAGCTGTGCTTTGCTCCAGCCCTGGAGAACTGCCCCATCCCCACTCAGCCTCCTGCCTTTCTTGTTCTTATGTAGTCTGAACTCCTCACTTTGATACTCATCCTACTGGCTTCAGCCAAATAATTCCCATCTGCTCCTTCAAAGGTCCACTTAGGATGGTCCGTTTGGAGAGGTTCTCTCAATTCACCTCACTGGCCCCAAACCAGTCTGCTGTGCTACTCTGATAGATAAGCCCTTGGTTTATTTATTTTTTTTATTTGTACTTGGTATTCCAATATTGAGCTGCATTCTTTATATCTGTTCTGTCTCCACTATTAGGCTGGGACCAACCTGAGTGCAAAGTCTGGGTCTCCTGTCAACCCCTTGGGACAAAAGTTACTTTTTTTTCCCCAGCTGATGTTTCTTGGGCACCTTCCATGTGTCAGATGCTGAGGTTGGTGCTCAGGACATGAGACAGACCCAGCCCCTGTTCTCCCTCAGGACTTGCCTATCCTGGTCCTGTCCGTGCCCCCAGGATAGCGCTCTGCCTGACACATCGGGACAACTGACCACTGTCTGGAAGAAATGAGGAAGAGGATAGGGATTCAGCCCTTGGAGATGAGCCCCATCACTCTCTTCCTGGATTCCAAGTTCATACCACTCTGGCGGCTCCTCTGAAAATCCCCAGGCCTCCTCCCAGTCTCCCGGCATCCGGTGTTGCTGTTGGCCGGGTCTGCCTGCCACACAGCCAGGGACTGAAGGACATTTTATTCCAAATGAGGGCAGTCAGCTGAATTTCCAAACCAAAGATTTTTCCACTTCAAATTTTCTCCTTTCCTCTTCTGCCCAAATAACACGTTTGTTTTGTAGAAAAGGGACGGAGCAGTTCTATGTCTAAGGGTTAAAGACTTTTTGGGGATACCTGGGGGATAGGCAGGGCTCTGGCCAAAGTCCTTATCCTGTTGGGAGAAGAGAGAAAAGAAAGGAACTGAGAAGGGCCTTCCAGTCCCCAGGACGACAAAGGGGATAAGACAAAATCAAGGGATGCCTTTTTTCTTTCCAACCCTATACTGCACTCTACTTCTTCTTCCATCTCCTTTTCCTGTTTTTTTAATCTCTTCCTCTCTTCCTTCCCACTATCTTCTCTCTCTCCCTCTCCTTCCTTTTCCTCCATGCATTCATTCGTTCATGCATTCTCCCAGCAGACATTTATCCAGCATCTACGTGTCAGACACTGCCACAAGCTAAGAATACAGAGACAACTAAGTCAAGGCTCACAGCTCTTATAGACTGGGGGTTGAGGAGGGTGGGGCAGACAGATGACATGTTGGGGTGAGGAGCTACAACTGGCAAGGAGAGGTACTGGTAGATCTCCAAGTACATTCAGAAGCTCATGCAGTACATTTAAAACAAAGGAAACTCTGGGGATCAAGGAAAATTTTTTAAAATAACTTAAAGCTTAAATTTTTTAAAAATAAGTATTTATGTGTTTATTATTACTATTATTATTTTTGAGACAGGGTCTCACTCTGTTGCTCACTTAGGCTGGAGTGCAGTGGTGTGATCATAGTTCACTGCAGCCTCAACCTCCTGAGCTCAAGCAATCCTCCCACCTCAGCCTCCGAAGCAACTGGGATCACAGAAGTGCACCACCACACCCGGCTAATTTTTTTTTTTTTTGGTAGAGACAAAGTCTCTCTGTGTTGCCTAAAATGGCATTTTTAAAATAGACTTTTCTTTTTAGAGCAGTTTTATGTTCACATAAAAATGGAGTAGAAAGCATAAAGAGTTCCCCATGTATCCCCTGCCCCTCACACACACAGCCTCCCTAACTATCAACATCCCCCACAGGACCAGTCATCTGCTAAACCTGATGAACTACATTTCAGCATCATTATCACCCCAAGTCCAGAGTTTACATTAAGGTTCACTCTTGATGTTGTACATTCTATGAGTTTGGACAAATGTATAATGAATTGTATCCACCTTTATAGGCTCATGCAGAGTAGTTTCACTGCCTAAACATCCTCTATGCTTTGCCTCACTTAATTTTTTAATCTTCAATTTCTTCTTCTTTGAAATGGGAAATATAACAACTATCTCATAGAGTGATCATGAGTATAAAACAAAATAATATATATGAATATTTTGCTTTAAGTGTGGGTTATTTATATAATAGTACAGGGAAAAGCCAAGATAACTCACATAGTTGTCCCTGATTGTGGTACGTGCTACGGGAGAAAGGAGAGAAGCAGATAAGGAAGGATGAACTTTCTCCCCAGCATCAGGGAGACGCTGCTGCATGAGGTTTGGGCTGCAGGTGATGTTGGGAGTAGTAGCAGGAAGAGGGCACAGAGGCCCATGGAATTCCAAAAGGGACTCTGGACTGCTCCTTGCTCCTGAAGTAGCCCATCCCAACTTTATCCAGGCAATCCTCTAGCTGCTGCTGGCAGGGGCTCAGAGAGCCTGCATGAGGCACTTCCACGTGGCTGATGTGAGGAGGGAAGAAGGGATGGGGAGGGCTCATGCCCAGGCAGGGCCACGCTGGCTTGAAGAAATTGTTCCTGAAAGTCCCTGGCAGAAAGTGGGCTGCTGTGGGCTGTTAACGTGCCATGCAAATGAACCAGTAAACAGTCCCCAATGAGAATCCCAGATGTCTGTTCATTCCAAAGCACAAGACACTCATTTTGGGCTCCAGGTAGGGACCAGCTCAAGTGAACCCAGCCCGTGAGCTGAGGCAGGACTGCTGGTCTCTCCGTCTTCTAGCCTCCGGACAGGGACCTTGTTCAGGAGACCTCAGTATCCTCCTACACTGAGACAGGCAGTGTCTACACAGGGAGAAGGTGACCTGGCAGTACAGATGACATCAACTTATCACCTTTCATTCAGGATGGGAAAAATCATTCTGGGGTCTGCTTGGGCTGTCTAGGCAGAACAAAACAGCTGCACCATAGTGCTAGAGACAGGATGAACCATATAGTATGCTTGTGTGGGCACCCCAAATTTCCACCTGAGTGGGGTCTGTTGCCAGGCAGAGGCACAGCTGGGTTTGGGGGGATGCCAGGTGCTTGCTGTATATGTGCTCAGAATGTGTTGGTTTGTGGGGAGGATAGCTAGAGAGGGAGAGGTGGAATGAAACACATCTGGTGACCTGATTTTTTGTTTTCTTGCTCTTAGTTAAGAGCCTCAGCTATTCTTGGGGCTGGAGGAAGAAGACGAGGAAACAGGCAGGGGCAGGAGAAGTAGAAAATGGGGCAGGTAGTGTATGTTACTTGGGGAGGCTCAGAGAGGGAGTGCTGGTTTGATCCTGGGAAGGCCTCTACTTCTCATGGAGTGGGAAGAGGCTTGGTGTTCTTAGGTGAAGAAGAAAAGTATGGTCACATGACCATTTAGCAGCCTCTCCCACAGGGACTCAACATGCAGTCATATCAATACATCATTCCAAAAGCAGCACATAAACACATACACCTTCAAGGATAATTGCAAGCACAGGGTTCAATTATACAGACAATGAAAGTCCACACTTCTTACACACACACACTGCCACTAAAACACACATTAAAGACTAGAAGGGGTCTGCTCATAAAGACTAGAAGGGGTCACATTGACCCTTCAGGTCAGGGCAAAAGTACCTTCAACCAGCATCACCCTTTGAAGTTTGCAAAGTCTAATGTCCATCTCAAGTTTTCCACAGACTTCCTTAGGGTGCTCCTGCTTCTGACGAATTGTTCCATCCAGGGTCCTGTGGCCATTCCTGGTGACTGACCCTGTTCCACACCACCACCATCCAGGTGGAGAATGTGGCAAAAACATTCGCAAGGCTTCTGTGATGTGGAAAACTTAGGAAGCTTTGAAGCAATGAAGAGCTTTATATCATAGCAATAACACTAAGCACTAAATAATACTAAACAACAGACATTTCTGGTATTACTTTTTAAAAATCTATTGATCATTTTCACAACTCAGGGTGCAGACTCTTTGCATGTTATTCAGCGAATCTCCTTCCCCCTCTTCATTGTTGTCTTCTTCTTAGAGGCAAAATCCAAATTCCTCTCATTTCTTACGTGGAACAATTTAGCTTTCTCCAACCTCTGCTGCCAAATGTGGCTCATGAACTCCCTTAGCATAGCCAAAAACTCACTGGAAACTCTCAAAATAGCCCCTGTGACTTGCTAATTAAGCTCCT